TAGCTAGCTAGCTGGTGTTAGCGACATATGGTATATCGTGTGGGATGAGAGATGTAGTTCAACCTGCATCTATATTGACAAACACGTGTGTGATTCATGGCTCAACTTAGAGAGGATCAAAAAATTATTTGTCTCTTGCCACTGAATACCGTACAATTTTTTTCCATAAATAAGTGTCCCATGGGGGACACCAGAAGGGAAGGGAGCTTTGTCTCTTAAGTCCACTGTTAATCAAAGATGAGTCAAGGATCAAGATGACTCTGTACATAATAAATTCTTTTGTTGTTTTTAGTTCCTGTGTCAGATGTCACTCCTACTGAGGATACGGACAGCACACTTGAGAGGTGAGGCATCGCCCTGTGTTGTTAATCAGTTAAGCCAAACCACAGCTGAGAAATGTCTATTTTTAATTCTGAACACTACTTAATCTAATCCTGTTCACATCAGGTCCCATGAGAGGACCTCAAATAAAAGAAGCAGGAGCAGAGTGCTGGACGATGACGAGGATGATGGTATTTCCCAAATGAAAGTTCTCATGTGTTATTTTAATGATAATGAACTGAGCACTTAGATAACTTGTAAAACTAAAGGTCAGTAGTATGTTGTCACTCCTTATTTTAACTTAACATCTGTGCTGCAGCAGTCCAGGATAAGTTACGAGCCTCCCACTTTAGTGGTGTTTAATCAGAGCTGAACTGCAGCGTTTTGACTCACATTACTGTCTTTACAGAGGATGAGTCCACCACTGCGATGGATGTGGAGACCAACGGCGATGCAGATTCAGACAGGGAGGATATCTCTGCTCCCGTGAAGCGTAGACGGAAGATGGTCTTAATTGATGAAGAGGAGGATGAGGATTAGTCACTTTCTTTAATGGACCGTAAAAACTGCAGACAGGGGAGACATAAAAGGCCCTTGCTTTGCTCAGAGGTGAATACAGCCCTCTGGAGGTCTGCAGTCCAGACAGCAGAAACTCTATTAATGGAATCCCAAACAACCCCAAAGAAACAGGCCCTTAGACCGGCCCCTGTGGATACATAGATCCTCTTATACAGCTTCAGTTTGTCATCTCTCTGGCAAACTGAAGCTGTATAAGAGGATCTATGGCACCACTGAGGCTTGCCATAGATCCTCTTATACAGCTTCAGTTTGTCATCTCTCTGGCAAGCCTCAGTGGTGCCTTTCTGTCATGGTATGTTATGGTTATGGTTCTCTTTGGATACTCTGCATGGGCACCACAGAGATATTGCTGTCTGGGAAAGTTTTACATCACAGGATTTTGTGTATAATCCAGTAATGCCTTTTTTGATTTGAAAGCTTCAGGCTCATTGTATTGATAAAATGAATCTTACATTTGTACTTTTAGGTCATTTCCAATGTTAACTTTGGATTTAAGAGTATAATTCATGCCTACTTATTAATAAAGAAGCACTGTTGTCAAAATAGTGGCTCACTGGCAGCTTTTGTTTTGTCACTTTGTTGCACTGCATCATTTAAACACTAGAGGGCACTTGAATAATGAACTACCTTTGTAAATTGTTAAAAGAATTATCTGTAGTATATCTAATTTGAACCCTTGGCTATATGGTGTATCCCTTAAAATACAGCATTTGTACAAACTTCAGTTAGTATTGTAGCTCTGAATTGAGTGAGGATGTACTCAATGTAAATGGGGTCAGATTAAAATCTCAGTCTGTCCATATTTGTCTTATACTTCGGCAAAGACGACATGAACGTCTTTTGATTGAGCTTTCTTCAACACAGGGATCCTGTATCATGTGTATGTCTGAAGGCTCTGCCTGTAGTCGTGCACATTTTGCAGCTGTGTCAGAGGTGGTCTCTTGTCCCCACATCTGGACCATGTTAGTAACTTCCTGTCACAGCATCTGCTCTGCCCCCATCCCACAGAGCCAAGCACAGACCTGACAATCCTCAGACACTGCTGCGAGTTAAGCATGTGAGCACAGTGGTGGGTGGGTGTAGTTTGTGAAACTAAGAGGTTAAAGGTATATCGCTTCCTCTTCACACAGAACTGTCCCAATATGTCTCCATGTGTTAACTTAAAGCAGACCTGTACAGTCTGTATATTAGATATAAAGGGATGATTCATTGTTTTGTACCCAGAACTTGAAGGCCTGGAGGCTGTACTGTGTAAATGTTAAAAAACAGATGTATAATACAGTCATTAAATCAGGCAAACTTTCAGTAAATAGAAGCCATGCTTTTGTTAGTGAAGACCTGACTTTTTATTTAAAAGCTACAGAAATCACCTTTGAGTGTTTGAGGTGACACATTTTCCTCAGCAAATGCATGTTCAGTGTTTAACACTTCAGATAGATTACCTGGGTCACAGTGTGCATCAGAGAAGGTATTTCAAGCATATTTAAAACCTCTAATGTTAAATCCTGTTACGGTTGTAAATGCAGTGTTTTCCTGCTGTAGGTCACCTTTACGTAAATGCTCAGGGAAACACACGTGTCTGCTTAGTTGTTACAGATGGAGGGAAAACTACCTGATTTGTTTGTCATGTAATTTGTTTTCCTCAGAACTCGCCTGGCTTGACCTGAGCATGTCACAACACAGCAAGAAACACACAACTTTACGTTACTACTATCAGTTTCCATGTCTGTCATGTAGGTCATATGGGAAATTCCTGGGAACCAACAACAAGCCACGACAAAGTGATGATCTGTCAATAATGATCAGGTCAAACCTGACTGAACAGGTCATAAAAATATTTTAATGTAGACTGTGAACATCCTGAACATGGTAAATGATAAACACCTGTCTGTGTGGTTGTTGAACTGTCGGTGTGGTTACCATGCAGTCTATGGTCGTGGCTATAAATAAAGAGGACCCTGCCCCTGGCGCACAAACACCAACCACCTCCTCCACCGGTAGACCCTGTGCTGCAAATGAAGTGCTTCTCCTATCTCAGCACTCACAGCTGCAGCTCATTCCCTCTGAGCATACCAACACAATCCACAGGGTCCTTTGTCACCAGTTGTTACTCTGTAAACACAGCAAACTCCTCGCCCGGCTCAGTGTGTCATAGTATGAATATGAAAAGGGGAAGAGAATGAGTCAGCCTGTGATATATACAACTCGTCTGTTTCATGTCTGTAGGCTTTCACTCTCTAAGAATACACCCTTTAAAATGGCTTTAAAAATTATAGGTTGTTAGTGGCAAAGTTACTGCATTATTGATCAGTTACAAGCCGTTAATTATGACAACTTTTAGGTTATCAGGTTCTCACTTTTCAATAAGCCAAAAGTGAGGAGGTCAGTTACAAGTATTATTAAGTTAATAATGATGAGTTTTAATTGTCTGTGACTCCCTGGACAGCAGTATTGATATTCAGTGAACTATCCTGGTGAAATAAAGTAAATTAAATCACTTCATAGTTAAAGTGTCAAGGTATCTTTTAATAACTTGTTAATAAATGGACTCTGGTTCAGACGCTCTGTCTGCAGCACTTCTCCAGATGGTCAGAGGTCATCGGTCCTTGTGGGTGGTTTTTACTTGATAAACAAAGAGCTATTACTGGAGGAGGATAAACACCAACCAGAGACAACCTGGCAAAGCAAAATGTGTTCTTATTGGTTTAAATTCTCTTGAAAACATTAGTAAATAATTTATTTGTTATTGATATTATTATTTATAACTTACAAATCATTTATAAGTAGTACTATTATAGCTAGTTAGCTTGTACTTACGCTAGTACTTAATTGATAAACAGCTGTTGTTTAGTTAGTGTACTGTGTTCTCTCATGAAAAAACCAACACAACTGTTACAAAAGTAAGGGACTGTTCGTTATTTATGATAGGGGAGTGGGTGCTGCAAAATGGAAGAGTCAGTTCAAATTACTTTTTAAGCACTGAGGAGGGAGTTTTTGATTTGGCATAGGAGAGGGACATTTCACTTAAAATGCTCATATGCTGTATTTATGTTAACTACCACTGGAATCCCAAAACTTGCAAGTGGGTTTAAAAAGCATGTTTTCTTAAAAAAAAAAAAAAATCAACAAATTACACCATTTATCACAGAAAGAGAAGGTGGAAACACAAATTATCTTCAGCTTTGATCAAAATGACCTCATTCTTTGTCTTATTAAAAAGAAACATGTTGCAAAAGAATCCATCATATTCTGCACTCCTGCACACATGACAAAAGGCTTTTTTCAGCCCCAGGATTTTCAACTTTTTAACTGAAATGTTTTTCTACTTTTAACTTTCAAACATCAAAGCGTATGTTTTTTAAATCTAATGATTGCCACTGTGCCAAGTTCATGTTATTCAGGCTATGTATGTATGTTACGTTTTTTGGTGAAAATGGTCATCTTAATATGCATATGTTGCTAATGCTGCTGTATTCATGCTGTGATGCGTATGAGTGTGGACTTTTTAAATTTTGTTGGTTTTGTGTGCTGCTGTCATGCACCCATATTCTACCTAAGTGCACACACAGATTGTGTGATGATGCAGGTTTTTAAGGAGGATTTGCATTTTGCGTAAGAAGTTAGCTGTTTGTTTTGGTGATAACTCTTTCTGTGCTGTTTGCTATTTACATTGGCCCCACACCTGTGGATATACGAAAATATGGTTATTTACGTTGAGAAGAGGGTCATGCATTTTCCCGCAGTTACTCAGGGAGGCTCAAGGAAGAATATCTGTGGCTCAAGGGAGGGTCAGGATAAAAATAAATACATAAATAAATAAAGTCACACCCCAGCCACCCCCTCCTCTAATAACTAGAGTACAGTCCCAAAGTTACAAGGTTAGGTGTAAATGGACAGCTGTGCACCCCTGTCGGTTAATTATTATTTCTTCTATATCAAACTGAGTGCAAAAACATAAAGTAACCCCCGGTTATTAAATGAGTTTATCACAGGAGCTCAGGTATAGGAAGCTAGCTGATTAACTCCAGGGCCTCATCTGTTGCTGTGCCCCCTCACCCCTCACCCTCACCCCGCCCCTCGCTCCGGGCTCCAACGGCCCAACTGCCGACGCTGGATGGAGATACAGAGGGGGATTACCTCGGAGGGAAAACTTTCCTCCTTTGTGTTTTAAAGTGCCGTTTATTTCAGCGCAGAGCAAAGTAGAGGGGAGGTGTGTGAGGGAGGACCGTTCAGATTTTCCACAGAGGAGGAGCAGGAGGAGGACTTGGAGTAGTTTGGTGAGGAGTCACAGACGGGAACTATAACGGTTAATCCAGAGCCAAAGTTGTGAGAGTGAGTGAGACTCGGCTCGGCGGAGAATGGAAACTAGCTAACCTTCCTCACTCCTGTGGTCTCAGCTAGCGCGGGGCTGTAACACATTTGCATGAGGCAGGGAGAGGAGCTAAAACATGTCGTTGTTGTCGCTTCAGAGCAGCCTGTGAGTTTAAGAAGAGCCGAGGGAGAAGTTGGGAGAAAACCGGTTTTCCCTGGTACCCTACCGCCGCTTTGTGTTAGTGAATGGTGGGGGTGTTTTCCTGTTTGACAGGGCCGATTGTCAAGTAGAAGTTAGCGTTACAACCGCCCAACACAGGCTCATCGGTAAGTTTATAAACTCTCTTTCACTTCAGGAAAAATTAATCTTTGTTGCACATCTACATCCCTCTACTCCTCCTTTAAACCCTGATGTGTGGTTGCCTGCTTGTTATTCTCTGCCAGTGTACATTTGAATTAAGTTAACTCCGGCTCTGTGCTTGAAAACAATAGGCGCATACTTCATTAACGTTACCGATGATAATTGATTATAGCTGAGCGATTCCACCTCAGATACTGACTGATCAGTGCCAAACTCTGCAGCTGGAAATGTTTGTAATAACACGTAGCAAGCCTGGCTGCCTCCATGGCTGCTCCCCTTTTAGAGGCTTTTACACTTGAGGCACATAATGCAATTCATCCTTCAGCCTTTGAGGACACAGACATAATGATCCAGGATAATAAAGGCTTTATTGGTGTGCACTGAACAACACATTTAGACCAAGATCCCACAGTACTTTGCTTCAATCAGCACTAGGCTATTTAAGATAATTATGTGGAAGTTGTGCTAGGGGAAGATGGGAAGTGGCCTGCAGCTCTTAACAGGAAAAACAATACTGATTTTATTGATTTAAATCCAGTTATATGTTATGTTTAATACAGATTGTTTGACAAATCTGAACATTTACAGAACTTGTTTCTTTATTTATTATATCCACCCATAGTGCATAGGTATATGGAAACCTTCATTTTGTAAGGCAAACATTTCATGTCCCTTTTTGGCCCACTTAGCGTGCAAGAAGTCCCAGCCCTGTGGTTCTGCTGTGTGATCCATGGTGGGAGTGCCTCTTGGGTTTTTGGGCAGTGTGGTGACAGCCTACAGGTCCTGTCTTTACTGGGGAGTGCACTCTGTAGTTACACCCCCTCAGTAGTGCACCCCCCCATCTACTTGACCTACTCTGTCAGCCTGCACCAGATGGTTTTGCCCCCTTTGAAAAAGCAGAGAGGAAGCCCGTCCCTGCTTTGGGGAAAGAGAGAAGGCAGGAAAGGAGGCATGAAGAGCAGGGGCTGATGAAAGTTAGGTTGCACATGTTGTTTTGCATGGTGCCTTTTAATTAGAGGAGACACAAGGGTCTCGTTCCTGTCATGTCTTTGTTATTGTAATATTTCAACACCATGCTGTCTTCTTTTATCTTCACTGATTAAATGCACATAAACTTTATTGAAAATGTTGTAAGTAGCTTTTAGGAGAGTGATACTGTGGAGAAAGAGAGCACAGTAAGAGCAGCTGACCCGCACAGCAAAGGAGGAATTCCCATTTTATGAGGACAAGCTTTAATGTGAAGTTTGGGTAATTACTGTGTTCGGATCTGCTTTCTTCTTTAAACATAAGCAGCCTTTTTTCCCCTTTAGACAACAGGGCCATGGGCTAAGGTTTATTCCTCTAATTAAGGTATTGGCCAGCTGTTGTATCAGCTGAAAAGATGAACGTCAGTGCTTTCTATGGTTACTTTAAAACGCAGTATAGTAGTTACATCTGTAGTATTCTATAGTGTGTACATGAGTATTCAATAAAAATCAAACGACAGAATCATATATACTCAGCTTCTCCTCTGCTGTTAGTTGTTGTCTTGTGTCGGGACACATATACATCATTTAAAAGGAAAACTTCAACTCCCAAATTACCATCTGTATATCAGTTTCTCACCTCATGTTATGCTGAATTTGTGAAGAAAATGTTATTCTTACATGCCTCCACAGTGGATGAAGAATCCAAAAATGGAAAAAAAAAATCTTGATGAATTAATGGGTGGCTACGTTTAACAACAACAAACCTATATAAAAACATCCCTTTACAAACTCTCACACAACTAATGCAGTATAATCCTATGTCTCTTTATGCAGTATCTTCAATACTTCCCTAACACATGCATTTTTGGTAAAACCTCACTTTTTAAAAAAAAAACAAAAAACTTCCTTTATAAGTAGCACAAGTGCAGTAGTCGTCCATGACTACAAAACATATTTTAGCCGTCAATCAGTTTAAGTGTATGCTATATTTAGAATATTTTCACTGCTTTATCTTGACATGAGACAGCCCATTCTGATGGGGAACTTAACTAAAAGTGAAATTTATCTATACTCTCTTTAAAGCCAGACTCAACTGACTAAAACAATAATTTTACCTCGCTGAACACAGGAGCTGCTGATCTATCACTGCCTCGATCATTTAGTACGTTTGTGTAACTCTGTATCTTAGGTGAATTCGAACTAACCCTTTAAAACACCAAAGTCACACAACAACACAAACAAACTAACAGAACAGATGTTTCGATATAGTTTTGCTGTTGTTAAACACAGTCCCCTATGACTTAAATTCATCAAGAGTTTCCTGTTTTTTGATTGTTCGATCAATGTGAAAGCATGCGAGAAAAAGTTTTTTTCACAAAGTCAACGTAACACGTGGTGAGTAATTAATTAACAGTTATTTGAGGGGTGAAGTATTGGTTTAATATCAAAGCCATTACAAATGCAAAATGCGGTTTCACAGTGACACTGTTGAGAAATGATTATTTCGGTGAGTTTACCTCAGTCTGCAGAATGATTGAGTTAGCACTCCTGCTACCACATGCTCAGTCCTCCTGCATCTGCCCATATGCCTTGCACATGGAAAGTCTATACTGAGGAGTGACTCTAAGGTTTGTCATGATGAATAAGAGCAGTGTCAAGGAAGAGCTGTGCTGTATAATCTGTACAAGACTCATTGCTGTGGATAATCTAATGTGGAGACTGCTGTGCTCTCTACTGTCACTTTCCCCTCTTCTAGGAAAGTGCATCATTTAATGTTTTATGTCTTTGTTTTTTCAGTGTAGTAAACTCGATACATTTTAAATTACCCAACCATTGCTTTCATCACCAACTACTGCTGATCCTGCCTTTCTGCGTTACTATGAAATGACTGACCGAAGAAGAACTGACATGGCTGGCTGAGCAGCAACCTGTAGTTAGACTGAGAGATGGAAGGATTTGGAGACTCCTGGGTGCAAGAAAAACCCTATTGTCACATGGAAACCACATAAAAACTGATACCAGTCATTTTAAAACATCCATCCATATGCTACTTTTGGAACTTTAAACACTGGTTATAGTTATGACATGAGAGGGGTGTTGAGTTGGCTTGGAAAAAGAAGGGCACACGAGATATTTTAGACTCATGAGATCGCTGTAGGAGGTACAATTATTGTTGACTGGAATTTGACAAAGAGGGTTAAATGGCTGCTTTAAATGACAGAGCTGCAGGGGAAGTGCTGTAGACATACTGTATATAGGCCCTGCGTGGAGGTCTGAAACGCCACTGCGTTGCCACAATAGCAAACCTATCTACAATTGATCATAATTCAGTCAGTGGCCTATTTGATCTTACTATTTGATCTTACTTCTGCTGCTACTTGGTCTTACTTTAGCAGTCTGCATAAGCAGTTTTGTTTCTTGTACACCAACTCCCTGTGATAAGAATTGAAAAAATAATTTTTTTAAGCACTAAAGTTTGAAAGGAATGGTTTGTAGGGTTTTGTGGCACTTTGCGGTGAGGGTTGCAGATTGCAACCAGCTGAAACTTCTCCTGTGTGCCGAGCGTGAACTCCTGGTTAGAACTTCTTCAGCCTTTATTGTTCAGGAGGTTTTTACTGGGAGCTAAATAATCCTCAGAAGTCTCTTCCTCTCCAAAACAAACAGACCCAGTGATTTAAACCAGTAAAAACACTGAATAAAGCAGTTTGACATTACAGATCAGTGTTTCTGCAACGCTGTTTGGCATGTCGCAGACAGGTTGCTAACCCAGCACCTGCTAATGTGTGCTCACCTTTTTTTCTCTTATTACTTAAGATCCAGATGTTAAGGAGGTTTTTACCAGGAGCTGAATTATCAGCAGAGGTATCTTCCTCTCCAAAACAAACAGACCCAGTGATTTCAACTAGTAAATACACTGAATAAACAATTTCTGTTCAAAATAATCTGTGTTTTTCCGGCACTGCTGTTTTTTTTGCAGAATGGCTGCTAACTACAGTTAGCAAAAATGCTAATGATTCTATCCAGAGCCAGTGTTTGGTTTGTCCATTCTGGGGTACTGTAGAAACATGGTGGTGCAACATGACGATCTCCTTGGACCCGCTCCCTATGTAGATACAAATGGCTCATTCTATGGTAACGAAACCGTTCTTATTTTCAGGTGATTATACACAAAAGAAAACATATTTTATTCCATTTCTGCCAATATGTCCCCCTAAATCCTACACACTGAATGTTAATTATACTTTATAATAATATCATGTTACCCCCTGACATGTCCCCAGCTCAACTTTATACAGAACACTCCTGGAAATAGTTGGACATTGGTGTCAAGGACACTCCTGCTCTGTACCAGCCTAGTGTTCATCAGCAGCATACATTATTTCACACACAGTGCCATATTGTCATGCTCTCACTAACATATGGACATCAGACTCCACCACACCGCCTACTAAATGCTGCTCTTCACCACAAACCCTAATAGAGCGTTGTGGAAGTGCCCCTCCTTTCTGCACACACTGTACGATCCTTCCTTTGCAGCTGGATCACCAACATATTGCAGCATAAAGAGTGTTTACTTGGTGGATGATTATTAGTCCTTACTATGTTAATGACCATGTGTATTTCTGATGTACCATGTCAGGCATGCACCATCAACATGTGACTCCCTTTAAAAGGCTCCTCATTGTGTTTCTGATCTTCTTTCATGCCTCTCTATAAGTAGCTCTCTGCATTTTTAAGTTGAAAGGCCTCTATTGTTTCAACTAAAGTCTGGAATGAGATGGAGAGATTATGAGGGAAGAGAAGTGAGATACTACTATTGAGATATTGCTACAAGTCACTGTTATTGGGGTTCATGACCAGAGGGCAAATTATTTGGCAGTAAGACCCATAGGAAATAGGAGACTTTAGTTTAAGTCCTACAACTGTCAGTGAGATTTCAGCTGCCATGATGTCGCTTGAACAGCTGCTAATTGTATCTCTAAATAAGCTATTTCGTG